AGAAAAGATAGTTACAGAAATCAAGAATTAATGTAGAGTAAAATACAAAGAAGTATATTTCTTCTTGAATGTATCAGCCGTCTCAATCCCCTCAAATTAACGGAATGACTTCAACGGGAAGTTTTTCCAGCTTTATATGTTGCACACAGGATCATGTTCTTCCTCATAAATCCGCCACCCTCGCATCTTTGGACGTATCCGATTGCTTTGCGATATATGTGGCCTTTTTCCGAATCTCCTTTCTCGCAGCTAAAATTTGATCTCGATTCGGGATAACTGATCTGTTGGTCGAAATAATTTCAACGCGGAAATATGGGATTCGATTGCAGTGTCAGTTATACTGATCAAATAATTGTCATACCAATAATAATATGTAAACATGTGCGCATAAAGTTTAACATGTGAAATTATCATTTGTTCAACAATTAAATATTCAACTAAAATTTGCAAATATCAACTTTCGCCCTAATATCGTAATTTGAAAGAATCTCTTCTTTTTTGTTAAAAGAAATTTAAATAATTAATTTTAGAAGAGAAACAAGATTTAAAAAAAAAAAAAAAACAAGATTTCAAAGTACAACATTTAATACAAAATTAGCGGCTTCGAGAAATAATATTTACAAAAGAGAATGGATGTGGATTAAATGCGTCTTCCAAACAGTAATAAAACAGATTTCAGTAATCCCGACTATCTCTACCTTTAATATCAAGCCAACTGACGTTTACGGCGCTAAAGTTCATCGTCCGTCCAGCGTATTGTGATGCCTTATCTCGCGATCGAAACGGTTCGCATACCCTGCTGCATGATGCTCGCGTTGAGATACCCGAGCCGCTATTGGTATAATATTGCAGCTTTGTCGCGTCTCCGGTTGAAATGACACGCCACGATAGTCCGAGCTCCAAATTGGAAGCCGGACAGTGCGGGGCCGAAAGTACCGCCAGAAACAGAAACGGAGATAGAAAGGGATTGCGGCGGCTCTAAAGTCTCTCTGACGTTCCGGCAAAACGCGTTCAAACGCAGGCGAGCTTAGGGACGCGCGCGAGCGGCTACTCGTAACTGTAGACGACTCGTCTTCTAAACGAGCGCGGAGCCGAGGTAAAGCACCGCGCGCGGCCACCATTTTGCACGGACGGCTTTAACTCGCGTCTTCCTTCTCTTCCCCACAGAGGACACTAAATATCCTGACAAACCCCTCGCGGAGCAAGCCCCCATGTGTACGCGCCGCCACTACTTGTCGTGAAAGCGGTAATTACCGGCGGTAAGTTGGAATCTATTTATGGGACTGCGGCACGTACATACATACGTGTAACTTGAAGGAACTGCGAGTTTGCAATGTGTCGAGCTTGTGGCTAATAATCTCCGGAAAAGTTGGCGGAATGGCGTTTCGAGCATGTTTAGCGTACTCGGCAAGAAGTATGTAAGTGTTAATTATTAAACTATGTTAAAAAAATAACGGAATTATATAAAAATATGAAAAAGAAAATAAAGTTGAATTCATTCAAAATTGTACGATAGAATGCGTTATATTACTGTCAGAAATTCTACAATTTGTACAAACTGCCGAGCTTGCAAGATTTCTCAATTTCCTCGCATAACAAATTTGTCGTGGAAATAGGCGGATAATCGAGAGATTGAATAAACCGAAATCCGAAGAGTCGGCACCGGATTGCGGGAAAGCCCGTTAATTAATGCGAGTCAAACGCGCTTAGCGCGGGTGCTTTCAGTGGGCAAACTTTATTTCCCGCTGAAGGATATTTCCTTTCAGAAGATGCCGTGCGAAGGAAGCGAAAGGGATGGAAAAGCGGTCGACTTAGTTCTTGGCGAAGTTCCTCGCGTAACAATATGGCCGGTCCACCGAAGGAATGGCGCTTTACCTCCGCATCCTTCCGTAGCCGCCGCTGCCGTCGTCGCCGCCTCACCGCTCTTCTACCTTAATTAGCTTCGCCCGTCGGTAAACAATAAGCCGTTATTTCTGACAAATTAATTCGAAAAACAATTCCCGGTCTGTCGGGTCGCGCGACGCCGCAGCCGCCGGCTTTTATCCCGCTGGGGATGCGCGTCTCAAAACGTAACGAGCATCCCTTTCATGTAATACTACACCATGCCCTACGCTTCGCCGGAATTCCTGAGACCCAACCGCGTTAAGCTCCCTCAGGATCCTCTTCCGCTTCTCTCCGGCCGCAAGAAAATCAGACGCTCGTCGTTGTCGAAGAACGGAAACATCGCATGGCGATCAACAATCCTGTCGTGAATTATTGAACTAAACAATATTCGTCGATTTTATATCCTGGAGAAAACGTTGTGAGTTACTCGTAATTGGAAATACAGCTACAGGAAAGAACATGGTTTTTTAAGTTCTGAAAAGGATTTCTCAAGTATTTTATAATATTAATTTAGTGGGATTTAGTTTTTCTCTAAAACTTTAATACAAATTCGATTAGAAACAAGATTATTTATATACTAGAAAATATTGGAAGAAATATAATTTTACGTAAGTTTGTGCTATATTAAATAAATAATAAAAAAATTTTGATTTAGCTTAATTCAACTTTTCGCGAGGAGAGAGCCGATTTCAAGTTTGTAAAGACGCTTTTGAAGTTTGATATGAGCCTCACGAGACATCCTATATAATTCGATCATAATTAAGTACCGCGGAGAAATTTGCTCTTCATCATGTCGTATCCTCTTTTCCGCACGCTTGCAGAATGCATTTCCCGCGCTAAGAGATACGGACGGTTACCCTCAGACCGACCAAATCACTTTGTCGTCACTGCGTGATCCTCGCCGCTATCCCTCGCGCAAATATTTAAGCGTACAACGTCCGTACACCCTGGAGATTACATGGGCAGCTCAGTTCGTTTCGTCCGACTTCATCTTCATCAACATACTGATCAAATCTCCCGTCCTGCTCCGCCGCGCTCTCAACGTTTACACAAAACCACCGCACGATGTGCAATTAAATACCATCTTTCATAACTCATCGCACGCAATAAAATCGACAATTGAATCATACGTGATATATCGTCAAGCATTTTAATAAATTATCTCTTTCTTTATAACTCGACGATGTTATTTTAAAATAGAAATTTATTTCAAATTTTCAAGAATAAAACTTTTGTAAGTGGCGAACTTTATGCAGAAAGAACATTAAACTTTCCTTTTAGTTCTATAATTATACAAATGTTAATACTGTCCTATTTAAAATTTCTAGTGTCATACTTAATTTATTTCTGAGACATATAGTATTCTAGTTAGATGAGTGTTGATTTATAGAGATAGTTTGCAAATAAAGGGACACCGGAGATATATACGTGTAGCGCACTGTTATATTGGCGCAAGTCTGCGAGTGCGATTGAAAGTCGAGAGATCTCTCGAATAGCCGGATTCGCTCTGCCCAATCTCTATCTTCGCCATCTCGATTCGCGTTTCGAGCGCGTTTGGCGAACTTGGGACCGCTTCCGAGAACTTCCGGTGCGGATATCCAGTTTGATAGTTTAAACCGGATATTCGACGCCCGCTTTCTCTCTCTCTCTCTCTCTCTCTGTCTCTCGTTGGATAGCTCTACCGGCGAACGGAGAATGGAAACAGCGAAGGGGTTGCAGTCTCGTAGCGCGGAGAGTGGCGGCGGCATCCAGGCTTATAGCGGCGCGAGACGCTCATCTGCATTTCAAATCGCACGCCTGTACGAAGATTTGTACGCGCGGGCACCTTTCTGCAGTGCGAGTGCGGAACCGAACGTGTACAGCATCGTCCGGAAACGAATCGTCGGATCGAACGGTCGCACGTAAAAATAGGGGAAACTAATAGGCGCATGAAATGTGTTATAATTTATTTGAAAGTTATTGGCCATTAGTTTAATCAATATGCAATTATGCACGATTTAATAACGCGTATTATTAAATTATTCATGGGCCAACTCGTCCAACTGAATTTATCATCAAGCCACATTAAATTACTATAATAAAATATATGTGTATGCATTGTACATAAATGCTAAGAAATATAAGTGAAAAATTAATTTCTCATACCTTCTTTCTTTCTTTCAATTCGCCTTACTTACGCGGCGAATAGAATCCGGTGTACATTATAAAGAAACTTAATAGATTCCACTTCCTAGTACTGTTGTTCTTATTACTGTTTGTAATGATTTGGCTAACATTATACTCGTGCGCTATGCGCATACAATCCACAATGTGTATTTCCAGCCGACCGGCGAAAGCGCGTTGCATGCACGTTTACGTATATCAAAGACGCGTCACTCTCGTGCATGCCGTGATTGTTTTCGCCCGTGTACACGCACGCAGAGAAATAGCGTGCACATAAGACGGAAATTCTACTGGATAGCTGCGGGGCCCACGTTCTTCCTCCTACGGCGGAATTGAGCGGCCGCGGATTTACGGTAAGAGCCGCGCAAACGAAACGAGCGGAAGTCGACCATGCTTCCGGATCAGACGGCTAGGTCTACCGTGGGCTTTCTCTCTCTCTCTCTCTACTGTCCCGATTAAACTACGCGGAAATCCTATCGAGAAGTAGACGCCATTATCCACGCGAGAGTGTGTTCACGCTACGTCGACGTGCTTGATTGATTAATTCGAAAGTAGCTTCCGATGCGACCACGAAAAGTTAACTTTTAGATCCGACTCATCGGACGGTTTCGGCTAACTAATTCTGTTTAACATCTCTCAGTCTTTTACCGCATGAGAGATTTCCTAAAAATTTAAATGCGATCTTTTCAGAGAACTTTCTTGCAATTTTCAACTCTAGTTAATTCGTTTGTGCATTGGCTAAATTTTCCTAGAGTAATTTCGCAAAAGAAGCACGAGTGTGTGATACGACGAGAGAGGACAAGGTTAAACGCGCGGACGAAAAATGTCCATACAGATTGCGTCGTCGTCGTGATGGAAGCGATCGGCTGGAGAAATTCATGGTCGGGTATTTTCTGAAGTAGACCGAAACTTCGTCGCCTGCGCCCGAGGCAGCGATATCGATAAGGACTTACCTTGCCGACCCCGGTGAGCTCCTTTACGCCTATCCTTCTGAGAAGGGCGGGTGGTGCCGGAGGTGGTGACTTGAGAAGAAGTGCGGCGTATCCATTGGGAAAAATGGGCAGCTCGTCAGATCCGATGTTTTCGTCGCCGGAACGCCGTCTCCGATGCGGGCTCGACGATAAATTCAATTTCTGCGCTGCCCTGCGTCACACAAATTGTCGCGTTTAATATTATTTTATCATGCGTTATATCATTTTAATAAAAAAAAAAAAAACTATCATATCATCAATTTAATATAATTTCAATACATTTTTTTCCTAAAGAAATTGGATCAGGCAATCATATCTATAAAACATTCATGTGTTATTTACATTTGAAGTTTTATCAGAAAATTTGCACGGTTATGAAAATGTACTGAGAGGGTTATAAGGAGTAAAATATTCCATTCCGAGCTCGCTCTCATCTCGATCCTCTTGAGCGATGTCTATCGCCTTGGCAGGCGTGGCCTCCGTACCTGCGAAAGGGTCGCCGTACTCCGGAAGGTATGTGTCTCGAGGGCGACTGGGTGACATACTCCGCGGGACGAGCCTGGTAATCAGCGGAGGTAATGTGCCGGAACCCCCTGTCGCGCGGGGCGCGCCGAGGTGGCTGCGTTTAAAGGGGTGCGCCGGGAACGAGAGCGACTCGCCGTGTGGCGGCATCCCAATGTCGGCGTCAGTTTTGGCAGCGGGGCGGGAAGTTACGCAGGGCAGGTTGCCCTAACTTCTCTCCACCCCTCGTGGGCCTCGTTAACCCACGCTCTGTGAAATTGGAAATACCAGCGACCTCTCGCGCACTCGTTCGCCCTCTTGCGAGGTCGATCTCGCACAGACTCTCCTCACCTCGCGCTCCCGCACGCTCTGCGGTGCGCGGCTCCGCCGAGCTCGAGTGTCATAAAAAATGGAAGGTGTGGGGGATGCGACGGGGCGTCGGACGGAACGCGGTTATCGCCGCGAGGTGCAGTCGCTTTTCACCGGCCGGCTGCCGGCCGCGTCGTATCCGTCCGTCAAGTGAATCACGTCATTCGCTGCTCTTTCGCTCCCGTGCGAGCAGGTGCGAGCGAACGGCGCGTGAAACGACTTACGAGGATTGCGATGTGTGTCGGCCAACGATTTCTTTAATAGATTTCGGAGCGGGACGGAGAGAGAGGAAGAGAAAGAGATAGAAAACAGATGACTTTATCACACCACTCAAAGCAAGTCCCTTGAAGCGCACGGTGAAATAATAGGGTCATTTTGGAACATATGACCATAGTTTTTGGAATAGATGGCTACAGTAAAAGGCACGTTATAACGCTCACGGTTAGCGACGGTTCTCATACTTTTCGCTCGCGAGGAGATTGACACTTTTAACAGGAATCTAAGGTAACGTAACTTTTTTGCGGAAATATAAAATATAAAATTCCTTGCCGTTGATGTCTGCAGCTATAAAAAAATTGCGCGCAGTCGTATAGGATTAAACTGCAGAATATGACGAATAACTAAAAAATTAATCGTTGAATAAACTAGTATTCGGAATAAAAAAAATTCTGCAAATGGACAAAATGCAATGTCGTACGGAAAAAGAACGCTTCAAAGTTAATTACGAAACCAGTTAAAAATTGTCAGTTCTGTCTCGGATGAGATACGCGCGCAGCGCGAGCAGAACCGTGTAAACCTTTAAGGCAATTAGAGTATCCGGCAAATATTGCGCAAAAGCTTTCGGATGTTTTTTGTTCGGGTGCAACGACGCCGAATTCGCACGACGCGCGCGCGGCTCGTCGCAGCTGCATAACATCCATCGACAAGCGGAATGTTTTGCCGGCCCGTTCAAAAGGATTGTTTTCGCGCACTATCAACGCTGTTGCGCGCAATAAACGGCAGCGACAGAGGGAAAAAGCGACGGCGGGAGATCCACGAGATCGCGGCTCGTCGTGCCGTTTTAACGAGCGCGGACTGCGAGACAAACGCGAGAACGTCGCGTCACATTGCCCTCCGGAAATTTGTGCACTTTCTCTGCATCGGACGAAAATGCAGCCTCACGGAACCACGGTCGTCGTCTAGTTTTATGCTCGATTTAATTATTTACGGTACTCTTTTCTAGAAGATTGAGAAGAAAAGGGACGGAGGAATTTACGGAGCGGAACTTGCACGAATAAATTACGTCCGAAACGTGAGCCTCTCGGGAAGCAAACCGTGTTTTTTTCGACGGTGAGAACAATGCAGATTTCTTTTGATTCTATTTACGATCGCGCAATGACGATGGCCATGCGCCAAAAAGATAATCGCATCGATATATCTTTCGTCGTGAATATAATTATGTGAACGTTCTGGTTTGTTTCAAACCTCACGAGGTAATACCGCACGCAAAAATAATATCAAATATTATCTCGCATTCTTTAGACGCGATGTAGAATGTATAATAAAACATGACTGATTCCAGCGAGATATTTCTGTAATTAACGTAGACGTAATTAAGCAGTCTGCCTCATTAGCGACTCGGGAGCTTCCAACAAATTGCATTTTCTCAACATTACATAGTAATAAAAATTCACTGTAGAGGAGTATGGAAAAAGTTGAAAGTTTGATATTCCTATGTCATTTAACAGCATTTGTAATACATATAAACGTTTTATACATTATTACGTTAAGTCATGCACAAAATATGCGAGGTGTTATGCGATATATCTAAAGAATATACATTTTTTATAATCACGTAAAACAATGTTTTAATGTAGCTTTAATATTTAATAATTAAAATATTACCAAAAAATTATTTTAATAAATTAAATATTTCATTCTGTATTCAATTAAACTTAATACTATATTCCATGAAATTTTAATTACTCTGATGTAACGAGAAATTTTTGAGGCTACAAATTAAAAACAAAAACTTTTACTTTGCTGTTCGCTAAATAAACATAGAAATTAATTTCATATACACGATTTTACGTGAAAAATTTTAAATTGATATTGATCATAAAGTTTAATATTTCACGTGTTATTATTATGCAAAATCTGGACAAAAATACTACGGTGGATGTTTTATCGCAAGTTGATGGCAATCGTAAGATTGCAAAGCAAGCGGAACACCTATTTCTGAAAAAGTAATGTATCTTCTACTTCACAATATGTGCCTTAGGCGAATCCAAAATAGAATGTGAAAGGATGCGGTAGACGCAGGTGCGTGTCACAAAAGCACAATCTATTTCATCAATCAGGAGGAACAGATGCGTACTGGATCTCATACATGTATTCAAAACCTCCAATGAAATATCGCCGAAATCCCCATATCCACTGTCGTCATTGACATTTAATATCTTAAAAGCGAGGCATAAAATGCCAAAAGCGTGGAATATTAAATTGCACATGGCAAATATAATCACGCAACAATTCCCAGTTGCTGAATACAAACCTACTAGAATTTTTACATTAAAAGAGCTTGAAAACAGTAAAAATATTAATAATATACTTCGACACTCGGTATGAATCAAAACTTTATTTTTGCTAATTTATATCATTATTTGATAAATATTCATTCATTCATTCATTCATTTGTTCAGCTGTATCTCAAATGCGCTTTTCATAAAATGACTAATCTCAGTTAATTGTTGATTCTCCCAACAGAGATTTCGATGTGTTACACATTCGTCATTCGGCGACGGTCGACGCGTTTCACGATTTGTCCCGTCGTGTTCAACAATCGTAAATTTTTGCACCGCGTGTTTTTACAGTAATAAAAGTATTGTGTGAATAAAGCCAGCGCGAGAGAAATGGGACCCGCTCGTAATTCGCGCGGAAATTACACGCTTAATTCGCGATGTTATTTACGAGCGAACGGACACTCGCCGACCGACCACCCCAGGGGAAGCGAGCGAGGGAGGTGCGGCGCTCCCTTCTTGGCAATCCGCCACGTATCTCGGCTTAATCAAGGAAATTATGGCGCGAAACGCTCTAAACGTCCGCCTGCATTAGTAAGGTCGCATATCTCCCGTCGCGACACATCCGATATCGGCGCGGCGCGTGAATTAAAAACTTTCGACGAGCCACACGCGACGTGATTTTTTACGAGCCCGCAGTGGGGATAACTAGCGGAAGAATTTTATAGGCGGCGGCTTAATTAAACACGCCACGATCAACCTTCTCGCCAGACAAAGCTGCGAATAAATCCTGTTTGGACTGGATACGGCGCCAACGAGACCGCTAAATAAATGCGCGTATCGTTATGGTGATGTTTTGCGGTTTACGAGCAATCGTCGTGAAGACCATTTGCGCCGAAAAGCTAGTTGATTTTTTTTTGCCGGAATTGAGAAAATTACGTAGCATTAAATCTTCGCCTTATTCACGCACTCGTCAGCGTGAAATGTTAGATAGTCATTTCGCAGGCCGCTTTATTTCCGTCATAACTTTAATATTCATCACTCTATCATCCGCGGGAAAATTCTTTGTCAAAAAACTATACGAACGTCTAGAATATCTGTCCGCTTTTATCCGTATTATCATTAATTGTGCCGTTTATTCATTCGCTATTGAAATTTTTATTACAGTAATATCACTGATAGTCACTAATCGAATTTTATCAATGACATTTCGAGATATTCTCTGCAAGAGAGAACCGAGGGGTTTTGATAGCCGCGAATGACGTTGAAAGTTATAAGATTCACCGAGCCACGACAAATTATTTGTCGAGACTGGCGGCAAATGAAATTTCTTCCGGACGGATTAAATTTGCATCCTCATTAACTGCTTTTCCTGCCTGCGGAAAGTTACAAAGCTTCCCGTCGTTCTGTAAACACCTTAATGGACGTCCGGTGAAAAATCTCCAACACTTTTATGGCCGCGAAACGCTCACGGAGTGAGCAAGTTACTGTTTTTTCTCGTATCGCACGCGAGAGTATCGCCGGCGTGCCTAACGTTATCGCGCGCGCTGCACTCTACGATATTTCATAGCGGGGGATAATTGTAGTTTAAATTCGGCTCTCCCTACCCGTTGCAACCGATATCAGTAATCGCATTATTACGTGAATCCGGCTCCCGACCTATTACTAGTGAAGTATTATCGCCCGAAAAGTTAAGCCTCTTACGCTCTGGCTCTACGATCTATAAATTTTACATTGCTCTCGCTTCAAACGCGCTCGGCTTTTGAACGAGTCTTCCTACGGCAATCCACAGAACGGCAAAATA